TTGGTGGGTAGAACCGAGATCTGCAGAGGTAGGGCATCAGAAGGTAAATGCCAGGACCAAAAACCAAGAGGTTTATTGGTAGAACTTGCTAGTTCGTCCGATTGAATGAAAAATGCGACAAGAAGATATATGCAGTTCCCACGACTACAATCTGTTGAGCTGTCCCTCTCCCAAACCATCAGTTAGTTCTGCAAATCTCCATCCCTTGCTAAATTGCTTCATGACTTTCCCATCTGCGTTCAAAAGTATTTACCATTATCTTTCAAAATGCAGTTATCACTCATGACCTAAGTTATCAACAACGCTCCACCTCAACTAATTCCACATTAATCGCACAAGTTTCGAGCCAGTCACAGCTGAGGCGGTTTTTTCTCCTACATCCCATCCTTACTAAATAATTCCCTCCTCACATGCCTCAACCGTAAACTCGTCAGCTATTACCTCAACTTGACATTCCGTGCGCGAACCTACGTGGACCCACTCCAATTCATCTGCTGGGTACTAGTGTGCTTTGTAATAGTAATGGAGGTAATAGTGTGCCGATTCTTGGACCGACCTTTCTGGCTACCACGATTGCAACTTCTCGCCAACTGATTACTGCCTGAAAGTCACAACTATGTCGGAGACCATGTGATTCAGCAACACAATCCCCACAAAGCAACTTCTCCGCCTACTGCGAGGCAATATCGTTTCCCCTCACACTTGGCGCAAATTCTAGAAGCACTTGGTAACCGACAACTTGAAAAGCCAAGACATCTCCTGAGAGTGAGGCGATTTTGCAGCTAAATTCACATTCGCCCTCCAAAATACATGACGAGGACGCTTGCAATTACAGTAGATACCTGTCACAAGACCCTAATTGCCACAACAGCTTTTGATGTACTGAGGTGGTGAGAAAGGCGTCCAAACACGCTTTTCGCGCCTCATGATGAAGAAAGCAATCAGTAAATTGCAATCAGGCAGCGATACCTCCAGAGTACAGAACAAAAAGGGGACTCTCAAATTACTTCGAATCATAATTTGTTTATTCTTTTAATAACTCTGCCACCACGGGAAGTGATTCCCAAAGAAAAATCGCAAGCAGTGCTACATTCATCCCACTTTCAGCATACACTCCACACAATAACGAAGAACGTCCTCGTTCCTCACTGCTGGTACTAGGCACAGATCAGGGGAAAAGGCAGATGAAAAACCGGTCCCACGACGATTAATGTTTCAGCTCATCTCTGTGCCGTCGTATTTCCTCAATAATGGTGGAATATGAGCACACTTTTCTACATCAAAGGAGGAATTATATTTGAATGCTCAGAGCAAAAGATGTTCGCATGATTACGCGTTTGATAAGTCTGCTCTACAGTCTCTACTTGCAAAGACGATAAGTGAAGCCACAAACAATACAGCGCCAAATCTGAACTCAAAGCATCCAGTTCACTTCCATGAGAGGCAATTTCTGCGCATGATCCACTCTACATCCAGTGCGTCGCACCAATCCCACCTGTTTCATGTCAGCCACGGTTCGAGGGAAACGCGACCTAGGACAGACACTGAAAGGCGTTTAAATTTCCTGTCTCTCCTTTTCTACTGAAATCGAGACAAGACATTTCAGAAAGTAGAAGCAACTTGCACTACTGAATTATAATTTAACACTTGAAGAGGAGGCAGTATCCATCCGGTTAAAGACGACTCAGTGGTGCTGAAATTACTGGATAAGCTGACTGGGATTCGCGTCCACACTCGCTGAAGACGGTTCCACAACAGTCGCGAAAGACTATAAAAATGAAGAGTACATCCTACATTACCCGATCGTTTCGGGCCACGCCAACAAAATCGACACATGCATGCCCTTGCGTAGTGATAAGCCAGAGGGGAAAGAAGAGGGAGTCATGTCAAGAGCCTATCCCCAGAGGAAATCAACCATAGGGAAGGAGAGGCGCATTGATTACTCAAGAGGAGACTTATCCCTCTGGAGATCAGAGATGAGCATGTGATTGTGTGTTGCCCATTCTATGATGGAAAAGAGTGTTACCATCACCACAACCACCACCATTTGCTTATTTACCAACCTATTCAAGAACCAGTGAAGGGAACTTACAATGAGCCAATCGTGAATACTTATCAAAGAACCACTCTTCATGTAGATTTTGTAAACGATGCACACATCCGGCACAGGAGATTGAGGAACATTCACTTCCAACAAAGACTGGAAAAGGTGAGAAGGTTGACTGGAAAACGCTGATAACTGGCAAATCCCAGGACCCGCTTGCAAATACCC